CTACCCAGGCCATTAGCAGTCATGGCATAGAGGCATTGGGTCACTCAGCTCGTGCATATATCTGGCTTGCGGCACCCACCCAACAGCTGGGCAGTACTAGCCCCCCTAACACTCGCTGCATTGAGCCAGCAAGCCCAGCTTCTCCCACACAACTCCAACTGGTGCTGCTGGCTGCAGTGCCCTGGGACACTGAGAAGCAAGGGAGACCCTGCGGGGGAAGCCAGGCCCTGCCGGAGGAGGGGCAGAAATTGCGGACACTCTGCGTGGCTCCCCAGGGCCTCTAACTTAATCCTCTTTGCTAATATCAATAAAGACCGGGACGCTCATGACTGCGAAGGCTCTGCTCCCCGGTCCCGAACATAGTACCCACAACGAAATGGACACAGGGTACCCGCCTGCCAAGCAGACCCACCAGCCGGGCAACATGGTTGCTGCCGGAGCTGGAACCAGGGTTGCAGTGAGGCTGCCCCAGCAGGGACAGCCTCACTGTGGGCCCACTCGAGCTGTAGCACGAGGCAGTCCACAGTGCCACTCACCGAGGGAGGGTGGGAGGATTTTGAGTGTGTGCACCTTATAGGGAATGGAGCTCTCCAGTGCACAGGGCTAATTAGCAGCCGGGGGTGTGGCCTGGGAGAGTGCCACAGCCTGGCAGGCAGAGGTATGTGGACCAGTGATTGGGAACCGCTGCACTAGGTCACAATGTCTAGTATGAAAGTAGGTCTATTACAAATTGAAGCCTTTAAGTTTATTCAGTCTGTCATTGACTCCCTATGTGTCTACTATATTCATGTTCATATGCATTGGTACAGTTTACTATATATAGGCTTTCAACCCTGTGTTAAAAAAGTACCTCTCAAAATTGAAGTATTTCTATAAAAACACAAATAATATTTAATCTTCAGAAATATTTCATAAGTGTTAACTAACTGATCATCAAAACACCACTTTATAGATAGGGAACTGGTAATCTCTATGTAAGACCAAAACTGGGGGAAAAAAGTGTCCATTTATTTTAGTTCCCAAAGTCATACAGCTAGGGCTAAGTTTTTTGGTTTTGTTCCTTTGTTTAAAAACACATAGATTGTTTTCAATCAGTACTTTATATGTCCAAACTACAGCTCCCATTGACCACAGTGCTCAGCCCTTCTGGAAGTTCAGCGCCAAGAAAATGAGGAAGACAACTACTAACAGCCAACTGTGAAATGTCTATTAAATAACCTACCCAACATCACACAAAAACCTGGGGAGAGAAGTGAAAATGGAATCCAGGATTAAGGATGTTAAGAGGCAGGTAACTGACCAATTGTGTAGTTGATACAATTTGTACTGACTAAACAGTTAGTCGATAAGGGAAGGTACTCTGTCCTAGCTTGCGCTGGTCCAGGAGTTACCCCCGCTGTGGCTCTGTAGTTTAAATGTAGCGGGAGCTGGGTACACAGGCAGCTGGGCTCCTACTACATTTAAACTGCAGAGCAGCAGCAGGGGTAGGTCCTGGATGAGCGTGAGCCGGGACTACTGCAGCTCTGCATTTTAAACATAATGTGACAGGCTGCTGGCTAAGCCAGAGCTCTGACACTGTGGCCTGACTGAAAAGGGCCATTGAGGCCAGCTGAGCAGGCCCATGCCTCAGGGGCTAATGGGAAACAGCTGTGGGCCTCATTAGCCAAAGGGCTAGATAAGGCAGTCAGAGGGGAAATGGAAAGGGAGGAGCCAGAGAGTGGCTGTGTGTGCTCCCCAGCCAGTTGGAGAGGCTAGCGTAGTTTTCTGGAAAAAAAAGCTCTGTAAATAGAAGGTGGTGGGAAACTGGCATGGACAATAAAAAAGCATGGGTGATTGCACCAAGAAGGGTCTCTAATTGATCTGTGGACAAAGAAGAGGTCCCAGGGTGAGAACCTTGTCACACGCGACATCAGAGGTGGGATTAAGCAGCAGCAAACATGGTTGATGGCCCAGAGATGGCAGAGACCCTGCAGTGGCTCATCAAACAGCAAGAGCAGGTGCAGCAGGCCCTGCAAAGTTTCCAGCAGTCCCACCAGGCGAAGAGACAGGCCTTGCTAATAAAAGCCTGCAGGATTTTATTAAGAAGCAGAGCAAGGTACAGAAGCTACTTCTGCAGAAAGTGGCGAGTCCCAGGGGAGGAGGTGGCACCCAGCCACCAAGCCTAGGATTCTGTAAAATGGACTCAGCAGATGACCTGGACACTTTTCTGGGAACATTTGAGTGAATAGCCATGGGCACCGGATGGGAGAGGCTACCTAGGCCCTACATCTGGCTCTTTATTTGGCGGGAGAGGCTCATGCCCACACACACAGCATAAAATGTTCTGCCTTATAAGTACTGCACTTCCACCTTTCACCTCAGGCTGCTGTGGCACCAGAGAGCACTCTCCTTAGAGCCCGATTAGGACAGAGTGGAGCACACAAGGCTGCTGGGGAGTCACAAACTGGGGTGCAGGTGCAGCAGCTAAAGGAGTGACAGTATTGAGCTATGGACTGAACGGGAGGGGTATCAGAAAGCCACATGAAGATGGTGGGTGGGTGGGGGTGTAGGGACACACGAGGATGGGGGGGGGAAGGGGGATTTTAATTTTTTGTAGTAGAATTCCCCCAAACAACATATAAACAGGCCTACACAACTTTGGAATCCCCAGGGGTCACAATGATACTCTCAGCACATGCAGAGAGCAACAACTTAAGTGTTTGTTGCATCTACATGCAAATATATATGTAAATATATGCAAATAGCTTATTTCACACTGACTGGCATGAATACAAAGCACTTCCCACAATGACCTGGCACTCCCAGCACCTCCTCTCTGGGGTCTAGAAACGCCAACATCTGTCTGTTCCAGCCAGTACATCCGCTTGTCTTTCAGCGCTTACCCTTCATGAGAGATGCTTCGACATTGTGAAGCATGTTCCCAGTGAAGGCCATGTTCAAAGAATCCCACCCACGGGCCGTGTGTTGAGCCCCAAGTAAACCCAAACAACCCCATGGGCCGCAAACAAACGGGCCATGGGCCGCACTTTGAGTAGCCCTGATCTAAACATTAGCAATTTAGAGTCCCTAAACTAAGTTACCTTAATAAAAGTATTACAAACTTAGTATAGTAAATCCATTTAAATACACAAACCTTACCAGGCCATATATTCTTTCAATGTGTTGTTGCTTGGTGTTCCACAAAAAAACACTGGATCTTTTCCTTTAGGAACAGCTTCTACTGGTGATGATCTTTTAGAAATGGGAAGGATAGGCTGTTCAAAACTTGATCGCTTTCCCTAACAACAGTAAAGTAGACTGTTAGTTCAGAAATTCTCAGGTATAGTCAGATCACATTAGCCTCAAATTTTTGGTATTACTTTGTGAGCATGAGCTTTTATGTAGCACTGTAAGCATCTACATCCGTATCAATAAAAAAAAACCACCAAGAAAACCTGACTAAACAAAACCACCACATTTTATATTTCCTATAGAAAAGAATGAGGTCACCTCTGTGTAGCTCTTGTGTATCACTTCTGGAATCTCCCATTTCCTTGCAGATTGAGCACAATTTAGTTTTAACTGATCCACCTGTTTTCTGTTACTCCCAGGATAACAGGACTGTTGCTCATGACTTTCTGGACACCTCAACTCTGACATCTTTGGCTCCTGATGCTGCATATTTATTTCTGAAATAAGTCATTTTTCTTCTGTTATTAAAGGAGGCATGCTAGAACTTTATTTTGAGATCTCAAACCATTTTTTCTGCACTTAAACTAAATTTGTTTCATCCATCCTTTCACCCCCCCCCATACATTAATACAGATTATTTAAAATGGAACCTCGTAAACATCTCTTTCATAGCTATTGTTACTTAGAAATATTTAAACATATCTATAATACATTTATCTGACCAAGAACACAAAAGCATTTTTATTTATTAGAAACCTCAGTAAGATCCTTTTCTAGATGGCTTTGACAACCATCTTCACTATTGTATCATGAGACCACCAGAAAAAGATGTGTGGAATACTATTTGGAAACAACTACTCTGAAGTGAATTACAGAACAAATTGTTTATTCAAAAAAACAAATACACTCTCAATTCAGTTTCATTCTGGAATAAGCCACTTGTAAGAGTGGCTAAGATTATTCCAGGTGGGACTGGAAACACAACTTACAAAAGTTACCCAAACTCTCCCCATTATAAGACCTTGTATTCTGTAACTCATAGCAACTTTGTCAGATTAAAACAGTGGGACCCTTTTTGGGTTGAGGGACGCTGACCCACAGAACAAATAGTTGGGGACCATACACAAATGAGAATCACCCCTCCCCCCAAAAAAAACCCCAACGCCCCTCACTAAGGCAACTCACCACTGAGAAGGAGAAAGACATTCTCCAGCACCTCACTAAGGCAACTCGCCACTGAGAAGGAGAAAGACATTCTCCATATTCCCCTCTCACATCAGAACCTAGAGGAGCCCAGGCTATTTTGTGTGCTCCAGCCCAGTGGAGAGATGGGGGAGGGTAGGCTATAACACCAGCACAGTCCTTCCAATACAGGGGGAGAGCCCTGAACCTTGGGGGCTGGATCCAGGCAAGCCAGGGATGCATGTGGATCCCAGACCTTAGGTCCCTCACCCCTGGATTAAACATTTGGGCTGATATTTTTCACACAGTGTCTGCTTCGGGGTTAAAAAAAAAAAAAAAATCAGCCAAAAGAGTTTAGCTGCTTCTAAGAAAGAGGCTAGGAAAAAAAAAAAAACCACATTGTTCTGTCCATTTTAATTCTAGTGAACTTTTCTTTGAAAAGTTCTACCACCTCTGTGCTCATGCACTTAATCTTGGACGTGTTAAATACCTTAGATTTTTATAGGCAGCATTTTATCTTAGTGGTCTATCTTGACTATGCTGGTATGACAACAATGCTAATCTGCATAATCTTGCAGCAAACAAGGGGTCAAATCTCATCTGCCCCAGACACTACAAAAGAACTATTTTTCAACTGAACCAATGAGTAGAAAAAACGGAGTGGCAAAAGAGCAATCTGGCTAATTAGAGGGCATTGTTGACGGCAAAAAAAAAAAAAGACTCGTTCTACTCTGCTTGACTATTAGCTATTATAATGCAAAGTCAGAGTGAGGAGTTGAAGTTTTAAAACATTTTGGACTTAACTCAAAATTCCACTGCCATATCTAGACTGATTAGTATCTTGCCTTCCCTGCTCCTATACACAATTACATAAAGTGACAATTGAATAGATCCAAAAATGCCTGATGAAAACAAAAAACAGATGAACACAAGAACTGAAAACGTGAATTAACCCAGTGACATTTTGTCAAGGGCAAGCTAACTTGGAGTTGTCTGAAGTTCTCTTAGGGGTTTTCAGATATCTAAGGGCAAAAGGGAAAAGAGTCTTTAATCTATGTACATTAGCTGATGTAACAAAAGAATTCTTCTGATCCATTTATAAATCCATAAAGAAAAAAAAATCGTGGCAGAGATGAGATTTCTTCAGGGGAAAGAAAATATACAGACAAGTATTTTCACATTCCTTATTATGTAGAATAGCAAATATCACAAGGCAGGGAACATAAAATGGAGTACAAGACCTTGACGCATTTATTAAAACCCACTAAATCCACTACATGCTACCTCACCTGACTAGATCACTATCAATGTTTTTAAAAATATTAAAACATATTTTACAGGCTCTTTATTTAAGCAAGGAGAGCCTTTTCTGGCTCTCAAACAAATCAATAGCAGGATGGGGCTTTGGTTTTCAAACGCCTCAGTCATTCTTGAAAAGGATACTTGGGCACTTTTGAAAGTGTTATTCTTGGTCAGCAGTATTTTTAGACAGAGCTATTTCTAGTTACTACTGAAGAAGGCTAAATTCATGTTGGGTAACCTAGAGATTAAGAGTTATGCATCAATTTCTAGATCAGTAATCCATCTAGTCCAGGGGTGCACAAAAGGCATCTTATGGCTGGATCCAGCCCACCAAGCCACAAGATCCGGCCCACAGCCACCTCACCAGCATCCTTGTACCCATAACACCTCCTGGACCAAGCATCGCAAGCCCCTGACCCAGATCACAACCCCCTCCTTCAACCAAACTCCCTTCTAAATCCCACCCGCTGTGCCAGACCCTGCACCCACTTCACAGAAGTGCAGCCCTGAACCAATTACCAAAATCTTGGAGTGGCCCCTCATTAAACATTTTTGCCCACCTTGATCTAGTCTGATTATAGGAAATAGTATCCAAATTTGTTGTAGTACTAAGCAGAGTAGCAAGACTTTCTCTCTTTTTTTCCTTTTTTGAATAAGCATGATATCCAAATGGCAAAAAAACATTTTTGCCCACCTTGATCTAGTCTGATTATAGGAAATAGTATCCAAATTTGTTGTAGTGCTAAGCAGTGTAGCAAGACTGTCTATCTTTTTTTCCTTTTTTGAATAAGCATGATATCCAAATGGCAAAAAAGACTTGCTCTTCAAAAGTCAGGATTCTTGTCATTTTCAACACCCTGCCTACTTTCAACGGAGTTAGCAAGGACAGAGTAGATAAACATTAAATACAGGCACATCTGTTACAATTCTAGCACTTTAACAAGGGAGTTAGCAAGGACAGAGTAGATGAACATTATATACAGGCACATCTGTTACAATTCTAGCACTTTAATGGTGATAAAGCTATCGAGCTTCCATTTTAAATGTATATACAGCTGTTTCTTGGAAGTCTTCGTTCAACTTCACCAAACAAAAAATAAAGAAGTTGTATTTTTAAATTCTTCCCTAATCACAAAAGTAGTAAATATAGGCTGAAGGTTTCCTTTAGTAGGCATTCTAAATAGAACATCCCAAAAAATACAGTGTTCCACTTCAGATTGGTAAAAATTTACTCTTATTCACAATTACCTTCTTTTCTTTTTGTTGCAAGACTTGAATCTGTTTTATTTTTTAGGGTTACGGTTGATTCGGTTGCAGTTTCTAAACTCTCTTCAGCTGATGTGTGTGACTGTACACAGCTTTCATCTTGTAAGGACTAAAGAAAACAATATATATTTTTAAAAGCATCAAGAACTCAAGCACATTATCTGAAAGTCATTTCCTATAATAATTTACCACTGAGATACCCCATGCCAAATAAATGCATTATTAGTTCTAAACTTTAACTATATGACCACAGACAACTTTATACCTAATCATTCCAGTTATTCCAATCATTCCAATTATTACCCTTCTCTAAGGATAGCATATCCTGAAATAGCTCTATAGTGTACCGGAAGTATCCCAAAATAGCTATTCCACATCTGTTGAAGCAGCCCATTACTTCGAAATAACGGGCAGCTTATTCTGACATCCTGGTAACCTTCGTTCCATGAGGGTTATGAGGTATTTTGTAATAGCGAATTATTTCAAAATTTGGCACTGCATAGACAGTGCCAAATTACAAAATAAGCTATTTCCAAATACACTTGAAATAAATTACACAATTTGCATAGTGCAAATTACATAGCTTATTCTGTGCTAAGGGTGATGTGTAGATGCATCGTCAGTGTATCCTATTTCTGGAATACTTTTTCTTTAAATAAAATGATGCAACCGACAAAATAATGTTAGCATTCTTAATGCAACTAAGAGTTGTTTTATGCCAACAACAAGTCTGAAAACCTTGAACATTCGGTGCTAAGGGTGATGTGTATGCATCGTCATTATATCCTATTTCTGGGATACTTCTTTTTCTTTAAATAAAGTGATGCAACCGACAAAATAATGTTAGCATTCTTAATGCAACTAAGAGTTGTTTTATGCCAACAACAAGTCTGAAAACCTTGAACATTTCTCTGTTAATAAATTGTGATAGTCAAGAAGATAATGTGACTATCTCTGCACCACTGCATTATTATGTTCAAGTCTCTGTTAATAAATTGTGATAGTCACATTATCTTCTTGACTATCTCTGCACCACTGCATTATTTATACGGACAAAGACTTTTCCTCATTTGTGTATCTTATGAATAAGCTGCTCCTCTGTACAGGCCATAAAAGGCAGCAGAATTGAAGCTGAGAACTGACATAAGAGACAGAGGAATGAATCTAAATGATTTTTTTAAAATCCAACATATGCAACTTGTAAAAACGTGCCTAATCATGCTAATCATTTTGTTACCTTCCTTCAAGCTTCACATGGGGGGGAGGGAGAATAAAAAGACAAATGGAGAACTATTGACGTGATTTTCAGAGCACTTCCAATGTTCATTAATTTAATACAGACCCATGGCTTCTGCACATCTCAAGATATCATCTGTTTGGAAAATACCTATTAAAATAATAAGTGGTGTTCAACACAAAATACCTAACTATTAAAATAATAAGTGGTGTTCAACATGATGGCTGAACATGTTTGAGGAAGGTTGAGCTTCTATCAACTCCAACTATTCACCTCGCTCAAGTAAATCAGATGAGTTTTAATTCAGCTCTCACTCTTAGAATCCTGGCAGGGAAGCAGATGATGGACAAGTCAGAACTTCTTCTTGCCCCCTCAGAGCAGACCATTAGCAAGATACTACTCAGCAGCTGCTCAAAGTACTCCTGGCTCACCTAAGTGCTGCACCTGGGGCTGCAGTTGGTGAGGTGCTACACCACTTCTCCATAGCAACAGGCTTGATCAAAACAATTAGGTTTGCAAATGCCAGGTGTGGCTCAGAAAACATTTCAGTTCAAAATTTAAAAAAATCTCTGCAAAGATACAGTTTTTATCTTCATAGTGACTGCTAAAATAAACAGCTTCTGTGGTTTGTAACGAACTCCTGACTCAGACAAGTGACCAAAAAGTACCATTACTATGCCATAGTAACTGTAATTCAGATGTACAGGACCTCTCTTAGTAAGCATGTGCACTATGCATATAATTGCTCTCTTTTGAATAGCAGTGTCCACTGGGGTTGCATCCATGCCCTATATTTGAGACTGTATCTGCCCTATATTCTCCCTCACTTCCCATAGCAAGGTATAAAGGGTCGTGTGGCCACAGCCCATGCTCAGTTCCTTTGACAATAAAAATCCTCAAAAAGATTCCAATCAGCATTGACAGAAGCCCAAAAGTGAAAGCTAAACAGACAACATGTATCAGGAGTGCACACAGAGCACAGACATGACCCCAATAGAGATGTGAACAACTAGTCGACTATTCGATAAGCAAATGCTTATTGGATATTCTTCAGGCTAGTCAACCAGTCACTTCCCTCTCCTTGCTGCCTCTATCAGAAAGAAGTAGCAAGGAGGAGAGGGGAAAGAGGAAAGGGTGCTTCAAAGCGGTAGAACCATGTGGAGCATGGGGCCAGACCTAGGACTCCATGCAGCACTGCCGCTTTGAAATGCCACACGCAGCTCGGGGCCAGCTGGGAGCCTAGGGTCTGCTGCTTTGAAACACTGATGGGGGTACTCCCACAGGATTGACCTCACTAGGTCTCATGACGAGGGTGGTTCTTGAACAGGGGGAAGATATCAATAAGCCCTGTAAGTAATTATGATAGCAGAGGGTGCAAGATGACTGGGTACCACTGGATTAGAGGATGATTAGCAGATGTCAATGCCTGAAACACCCATATTGAGCTGAGAGACTAGAAAGCAGACAATCCAATATCTTACTTCTGCTGTGAAGTAAGAGGTCCTAACCTCAGCAAGCCACCATCCAAGCAGCCAGAAGAAGTTCAGGTGTGGAACTTGCTGCTGAACTGAGACACCAACTCTATTTGAGCTGGTAGGGGGATGGGCCATCAAATGGATGCATTCACTAGATAGGAATACCAATTCTGCCTTGCCCAAGCCAGTGCCATCATGATGACTAAGCTCACATCCAGTTTCAGCTTACGCAGGATCCCTAGTATTCAAAAGATGGGGAAAGGTATACATTAGATCCAGAACCCAACCTAACTGGAAAGCATCTAAAATAAAGCCTAAGCTAATTTCCCATCTACAACAAAATTCTGGGTACTTGCGACTCCTGGTGAAAAGGACTATCCAGGGAAATCTTCATTTCAGAAGGCCTTATATGAGGACTTTGGACTTGAGGGACTATTTGTAGTTCTCACAAATCCTTTGAAGCAGTCTGCCAGAGTATTTTGCAGCCCAAATATATGCAGAACCACCAGGGTGAGCAGGTGGTCAATGCAGCAATTCCAGAGCCACTTGGCTTCCTAACAAAGGGTGGGCAAGAGACGGTAGAAAGAAAAGATCTGACCTCCCATGGCAACTGATGCAGTACTCACAGACAATACCACAGCTATAGACATGGACCATAAATCCCATCCTTTCCTCCAGAAGGTATGCAGGAAGGCCTTGTGTACATACCTTATAGACCTGAGTTCCAGAACATATATATGGAAGGTATCCTTGAGCCATAATGCTGGCAGAGAGGAGATCCCTGCTGGATTCCTCGTCAGATTTGTCCATCAATTTGATACGAGAACTTTGGGAGGGACAGTGATCCTCTCTCTGCTGCATCTGATTGTTGGACATACAAATCGTAACCATGCATGCAGAGGCTGCAAGTGAAGTCTGGCAAGGTATGTGATGTATGTGCATGCCAACATGTGGTCCAGGAATTTGAGACTTTTTTTTTGGTTTTTGTTTGTTTTTGGGGGGAGGGAGCGGGGAGAAGAGAAATAAAAGGGGGTGAAATCAAATTTGGCCAATGAGATCTGTCAATCCGAAACCTTTGGTCATGCAGATATCCCCACACCAACATAATGTCCAAACAAGCCCCAATAACTGCTATGCTCTAGGTCATGGTCAGTTTCTCTTTATTGATTCCAAGTCCCAAGTTACTGAAAGTACTCAGTATCTTCTACAGTGAGTCTGACATGCTGGAGACTTCCCTTGCAAGAGGCAGTCAAAGAGAGGTACAACTGGATTCCAGCTATGAACAGGGTGAACATGCAGGAGGCTATATGAAAGCTCAAGCACAAGAACCTTCATTGTTAACGTCTACTACTTATCTTATATGTCAGTCTCAGAGAAGTAGCTGTGTTAGTCGGTATCTGCAAAATTATGTCAGAGTCTCAGAGAAGTAGCTGTGTTAGTCGGTATCTGCAAAAACAACAAGGAGTTCAGGGGCACCTTAGAAACTAATTGATTTATGCCATAATAAATCAGTTAATCTCAGGTGTCATAGGACCCCTCATTCTTTTTAAGCATCAGAGTTAGAGATATGGAAGTAAGCATCTTGGGTGGTTGAGAGCCATAACCCACTCAACAGGATCAACAGAGGAGACTATGGAAGCAAGGATGACCATGCAGATCAGTGATGCCGGGTAAAGGAGTGGATCACCATGTCCCCTTCCTCTTTGGGACAAGAAAGAACAAAATTAAAATCTCTTGCCTTTGAACTCCGGAGGCACATCTTCCACTACCTCCAGTTGTAACTGCGAATCTGCTGCTTGTTTCAATAGAATCTCATGAGAAGGGTCTCTGAAGAGGGAAAAGGGACAGAGGATGGAGTGGGAGTAGCTAACAAGATAAGGATTCTTTACCATCTCAAAGACACACTAAACCAAAAGTTACCCAGAAATGGGAGAAGCAGTTGCCAAACAGATAGCTAATTGAAGCATGGCCAATCAGTGATTCTAAATATGCAACTTCTGACATGCATGTCATAATTTATGTTCCTGTAGGGCTCCAGATGAGGGAACATCCAGTCAAAGAGGAACTGGAGTTGTCAGAGATGGAAATGTTTCCAGAAAGAAGTACTGCTACTATCTGGGTCTGTAGTACTGCTGCAATTAATTCAAAATCTTCATTTTAGCAGCTAAGACAGCAGTTTTCAAACTGTGCGTTGGGACCCCAAAGTGGGTCAAGTCCCCATTTTAATGGGGTTGCCTAGACTGGTTCAAAGCCTGAGACCTTCAGTCCTCGGTGGCAGGATTCAGGTTTTGACCCTCTACCTGGGGCTTGAATGGGCTCTGGATTCAGTGGGTTCTGGCCTCAGTCCCCACTCCTGGGATCATGTAGTAAAGAGAAGTTACTCACTTCATGCAGTAA